ACAAGGCAAAGAAGCATAAATTGTAGGTAGAAAATAGACAGGAGGAGGTTAAGAATAGTATAGAAGCTGGAGAAGCCAAAGAACTTATTTGTATGACCCATGGACTCGAACTAAGGGGGAGAGGGCATACTGGTGGGAGGAGAGGTGCAGGACAGAGGTGAATAAAGGGGAAGGAAAAAATGAGACAACCATAATAGCATAATCAATAAAATATACTTTAAAAAAAAAGAAAACAAAATACAGCAATACTTTTATGGTGGTTTGTAAATCACTTTTATCTCTAGTATAAAAGTTAAAATGCAGTAATAATAAAAATAATTATAGCTACAATAATTTGTAAATATATTCAGACTATAAAGCAATGTAAAGTATAACATCAATGGCATATAATGTGAAAAAAGAAGTAGTAAAATTATAGTTTCCCTATGTGATTAAAGGTAAGTTGTTATTACCTTAAAATAGACTGTTATGGTACAAGTTTTTATGAAAGCCTTGTCATAACCAAATATAAAAACATAATAGACACTCAAAAAAGAGATAAGATTTAAAGTACATTACTACAAAAAGTCACAGAGGAAGAAAGAAACAAAGGAACTTTTAAAAAGTCATAAAACAATGAACAAAACATTAAGTAACATTAAGTCCTTTTCTACCAACAATTAAATATAAATGGACTAAATTCTCCAATCAAAAGACACAAGTAGCTGAATGAATTTTAAAAATCCAACACTGTGCTACCTTTAAGATTCATTTTAGCTCTGAAGACACACATAAGTTGAAATAGAAGGAATGGGCAAAGATATTCCATGAAAATAATAACCAAAAGACAGCAAGGTGTGGCTATATTTCTATCAAATATAATAGACTTTGCATAAAAATAACTAACAAGTGCCAAAGAATGTGTCTGTATCATAAAAGTCAATTCATCAAAAGGATATAAAATTGTAAATATTTATGCACACAACATATGAGTATCTAAATATATAAAGTACTAACTAAACCTGAAAGGGAAAGTAAACAATATATAAAGTAGGGGACTTCAAAACCCCACTTTTAACACTGGATAGGTTATGCAGGCAGTAAAACTGGCAATCATAGGCAGTGTGGGTTTGATCAGTGCTGCAAATAGTTTCCATAGTTCTCTTAAAGAGTGGTGTCTCTAATATGCTAGTCTACTGTTTTCCAAGTGGCAGACCAAGAAGATAGTAATATCTGGCCGTCAGTAATATCATAAGAGTAAGTCTAGTAAAACATAATAATAGTTCATCAAGGAGATGATGGCCAGAGCTACAAGAATAGCCTTGAGTCTGCCACTAAGTGGAGTGACCATGTCTATACTTGGTTCTCCATAGATGGTACTAAGGTTCAACAGTAGTGGCACCCCAGTGGACACCTTTAGGTTTCAACTTCAGTGAACCATCAATAAATGAAGCCCAGGCACTGAGGGCAACCTCTGAGAATATTTAGGCTACACTGAGCAAGTGGGTCTGCTTTAGATGCTGGAATGAAGATGAAGTTTTCTCCCAAGAGATAACTGTCACTTTTTCATGCAAAGCTAAGATACTGCTAGGGTCAGCTGGCTGCCTTATTAAATATTCCATTTCCATTTGATAAGCAAGTCCTGCTAGGTCCTTCCCACCCTGTTAATTGTAGAGTCTGAGTTGATCTATCTCAAAATGAGAACGTCAGGTCAAAATTCCAAGACCTACCTGGGTCCGTTCAACAACAGCAGACAAACAGATGTTTTTCAAAAAGGGTTTACCTAGTACCCATGTCAAGAGGAGGGGAAATTTTCAAGCACTTTTTACAAGGCCAGATAAAAACACTACAAAGAAAGAAAAATTATGGACCCATATCCCTAGTGAAGATAAATGCAAAATCCTCAACAAATATTAGCAAACTGAATCCAGCAATAAATTAAAAAGATCATATACTGTGATCAGGTGGGATTTATTCCAGGAACTCAGGGTTAGTACAATATCTGCAAATCAATAAATGTGATAAACCACATAAACAAAATGAAGAATAAAACCACATGATATCAATAGGTGCAAAAAAGGCAAATGATAAAATCCAGAACTCACATTAAAAACTTTCAGCAAAGTAGAAATAGAGGGAACATATATCAATGTAATAAAGGCCATATACAACAAACCCACAGCAAACACCATACTCAATGGGCAAAAAATACAAACATTTCCAGTAAGATCAGGAACAACACAGGGATGTCCACTTTCAACACTCTTATTCAACATAGTACTGCAGTCCTAGGCATGGCAATTGGACAAAATGATGAAAAAAAAAAGGCATACAAACTTGAAATGAAGAAATAAAACTGCCATTATTTGCAGATGACATAATACTGTATATAGAGAACTCCACAGATTTCACTAAAAAACTACTAGAACTGATATATTAATTCAGTAAAGCAGTGGCAAACAAAAAAAGTCCAGAAATTGGTTTCATTTTAATACACCAATAATAAACTATCAGAAAGGAAAACTAAGAAAACAATCCCATTCATAACTCAAAAAGAATACCAAGGAATAAATTAAACCAAGGATGCAAAAGACCTGTACTCAAAATGCAACACTGAGAAAAGAAACTGAATAAAAAGAATAAAATACCTAGGATAAATTAAACCAAGGATGTAAAAGACTTGTACTCAAAATACAACTCTGAAAAAAGAAACTGAAAAAGATACAAATAAATGGAAACATATACCATGTTCATAGATAGGAAAAAGTGACATCATTCAAATGTCCATACTTCCCAAAGGAATCTACAGATGCAATGCAATTCCTATCAAGGTATCAATAGCATATTTCACAGAACGAGAACAACTATTCCAAAAAATTATATGGAACCACAAAAGACCCCAAAGAGCAACAGCTATCTTGAGAAAGAACAATAAAGTTGGAGGAATCAGGCACCTGATATCAAACTATACTACAAGACCACAGTAATCAAAACAGCATGATATTGGCATAAAAACAGAAGTACACATCAATGGAACAGAATAGAGAGCCCAGAAATAAACCAACAACTTTAAAATCAATTAATATTTGACCAAGGAAACAAAAACATGCAAAGGGATAAAGATAGTCAATTTAATAAACGGTCTTGGAAAAATTGGGACAGATATATGCAAGAAATGAAACTAGACCACCTTCTTACACCGTACACAAGAATAAATTCAAAATTAATTAACAACTTATGTGTGACTTATGTGTTAGACTCAAAACCATACAAATCCTAGAAGAAATCCAAGGCAGTAAAATCTCAGAGACTTCTCCTAATGATATTTTTTCTAATATATCTCCTCAGGCAAGGGAAACAAAAGAAAAATAAATGGGGCTACATCAAACTAAAAAGTTTTTCCACAGCAAAGGAAGCTATCAGCAAAATGAAAAGATAGCCTGCTGAATGGGAGAAGATATTTGCAATGATATATCTGATAAGGGGTAAATGTCCCAAATTTATAAAGAACTTACACAACTCAATATCAAAAAAGCAAACGATCCAATTAAAAAATGGGCAAAAGACCTGAAGAGACTCTTCTCCAAAGAGGACAATCATATTCAACTAGCTATCAGAGAAATGCAAATTAAAACTACAATGAGAATATCACCTCACATTGTTACATGGCTATCATCAATAAATCAACAAACAATAAGTGTTGGCAAAGATATGGAGAAAAGAGAACCTTTGTGCACGGTTGATGGAAATGCAGATGGGTGCAGCCACTGAAAAAAGCAATATGGAGTTATCTCAAAAAATTAAAAATGGAACTGCCTTATGACCCATGATTTCACTTCCATAAGTTTATCCGAAGTAACTTGAAACATTAATTCAAAAGAACATATGTACCCCTATGTTCACTGCAGCATTATTTACCAGAGCCAATATCTGGAAATAGCCCAAGTATCTATCAGTAGATGAGTGGATAAAAATGCTATGGTACATTCACACAAAGGAACACTTCTTGGTTGTAAAAAAGGATATTCTTACCCTTTGCAATAGCATGGATAAATCTGGAGAGCATTATGCCACCTGAAATAAGCCAATAAGTGAAAGACAAGTACCAAATGATTTTATTCATATGCAGAATCTAATGCAACAAATAGAGACAGCATCATAGACAGAGAGCAGGCTGACAGTTTTTGGTGGGCTGGGGATACTGAGTAGGGGTGATGGAGAGATTGAGCAAAAAAGAAAAGACTCATCGGGAGTGGAGAGATGAAGGGAGGTAGGAGAGGATAAAGAGTGCATAAATGGTGATGAATGGAAACTTGACTTGGGGTGGTGAACACACAATACAGTGTATAGATAATGTGTTGTAGAATTGTACACCTGAAACGTGTAATTTTATTAACCAGTGTCACCTCAATAAATAACAAATAAAGAAAGAAAAAATATATTTTTTAATTTTAAATAAAAAGACTGTTCTTTCTTTGGTTGACACTTGAAAATCAACTGATCATCAATCAAATGCTTCACAAGACACAAGATAATCCAATTAGAGTTATAAGCCCTGAAGTGAGACAGGTGATGATACATCCGACCTGGGTTCAGGACAAATACCTGCCTCAAAGGGATGCCCCAAGGGCCTCCAATATGCTAGGCACCATTCTAAGAACCTTATAATCACGCAAACCAAAGGAAATCCTGAACATGAAATTTCTAATGTGATCTGTGTTGAACCTTACAATCAATCAATCAATCAATCAATCACACAAACCAAAGGAAATCCTGAACATGAAATTTCTAATGTGATCTGTGTTGGCTACTACACTATAGTATTAGTCAGGTGATACTTATATTTTTATACTACCCATTTTAATTAGGTTTATCGTAATTTCCAGTATTATGGTCATCTTGATTTCATGTACTCCATTAGTTTCTCTGCTAAACTACTCTATTTCAGATGGGTACATTTGTTAGGAGTCTATGTTGAGTGTTTCAGACAATCCAAATGAAATTAATGGCTTGTCTCTTACCGTTTTCCTCTTGGATAATGCCGCACATATTCTCCAACATCATGAGCAGCAACAGCTAAGACTTGTGGATCATCTGATACCTCCAGAAGTTTTGTCAAAATTCTGAAATAAATGTAATCCAAGAAGAGATCAATTTTTTATTTTTCTATACAGCACAAAAGAGCATAGGTATAACACAGAAAGCTTCCTGAAAATAGATGTTTATAAATATAATCATATTTTCTATAAATTTCACTATGACACATAATACATAACACATAATGTTACACACAAGTTAGCAGTTTTCAAACTTTGATACACATATAATAGGTTAATTTCAGATTCACAATGCATACCATGCACAATTCCCAAAATATCAGGGACTGCTTCTCCTGTTCTCTTAAGACAACTCCACTCAGATAGATACGAGGTCTGTCCAGAAAGTATCCAGCCACACAATATGAAAAATAGAAACATTTATTAAAGACACAAGCAACATTGTACATAGGACGATGACACCTCAGTCCCCTTCAAAGTAGACATCTTGGGATCTCACACAGTTCTCCCAATCACCATCAGCTACCCCACCATATTTTCCTGAATCTCATCAATAATCTGAAATCTCTTCCCTTTCAAAGGTGATTTCAATTTGGGGAAAAGCCAGAAGTCACAGGGCACCAAATCTGGGCTGAAAGGGGGCTGAATCACCTGGGTGATTTGATGTTTCACCAAAAAACTGTGCACAAGATATGATGCATGAGGAGGTGTGCTGTCAAGATAAAGCTGTAATCACGAGTTGCGCATAGCTGTGACCTTCTGAGTCATCTGAATAGTTTCTATGGAGGAATGTTTAAGCTTAACACAAAATCTGATGCAGATCTTTGCTGTACTCATCACTGAGTCATCATGCTCACGCATGCACATTCCATTCTACTCTCCTTGACTACCAGATTAGATCAATGTCACACAAACCAATCTCTTTATATTAACTATAGTTGGATTTTTTCTGGACAGACTTCATATGTAAACTCTTTAAACTCAGGAATGTCCAACCTTTTGTCATCTCTGGGTCATACTGGAAGAAGAGGAGTTGTCTTGGGCCACACATTAAATACACAAACACTAACCAAAATTGAGGAAAAAAAGTTTTTGTTTTTAATATTTTTTATTTTTTTAATATGTTATTGATTATGCTATTACAGTTGTCCCATTTCCCCCCCTTCATTCCCCTCCACCCTGCACACCCCCTCCCACCCACATTCCCCCCTTTAGTTCATGTCCATGTGTTATAAGTTCTTTGGCTTCTACATTTCCCATACTATTCTTGCCCTCCCCCTGTCTATTTTCTACCTACCATCTATGCTACTTATTCTCAGTACCTTTTCCCCCTCTCTCCTCCTCTCACTCCCCTGTTGCTAACCCTCCATGTGATCTCCATTTCTGTGGTTCAGTTCCTGTTCTAGTTGTTTGCTTAGTTTGCTTTTGTTTTAGGTATGGTTGTTAATAATAACTGTGAGTTTGCTGTCTTTTTACTGTTCATAGTTTTGATATCCTTTTATTTCTTAGGTAGGTCCCTTTAACATATCATATAATAAGAGCTTGGTGATGATGAACTTTAACTTGGCCTTATCTGAGAAGCACTTTATCTGCTCTTCCATTATAAATGAAAGCTTGAGCAAACAAAAGTTTTAAGTACATTTACAATTTTGTATTTGGCCTCATTCATAGCCATCCTGGGCCGCAAGTCATGGGCTGGACACCTATGATAGAATTAGCTCAGAGAACCTGGCAGAATACTGAGAAAATGCCTTTCATTCAGTTCTCATCTCAAATGTCAACTCTAATTTAAGAGCCTCAAATTGTCCTAAGACACTATCTTCCTCATCATTTTCTATCTACTCTTCCTAATTTATTTTTCTCACAATACTAGTCACTACCTGCCATTATATATTTGCTTGAGTACTTGTTTAGTCTTTCTCTCCCAAATATAATGTAAGTGTAATGAGAATTATAACTTTGTTTTATTTGCCATTGTATCTGTAACACCTAAAACACTAATAACCACACAATAGGTATTTAACAAATACCTGATGAAAAAAATGAATAAATGAAGTATAAAATGGTATGCTGAATGGGAAAAACAATTCTGACAGCTCCTAATGGAATTAAAAATACACAGACCTCTGATCCAGCAATTCTATTCTAAGAATCAATCCTACAGAAATATTTTCATATTTCCAGAAAAATGTCTATGTATACTATCTTAAATAAATGACTTAAGAGAAAAGACCAGAGTAGAGACCATTATGCTTTTTTCCTCCATTTCTTCTTGCCTGCTTTTTCCTCTGCAACAATGATAATTTTGTGTACAAAGTAGTTTAACATCCACCCTTTTACCAAATCCCTACTATTAAGATTATTAGTTTTTTCTACAGAGAGGTAAATGGAGGCTCAGTAAAATTAAAACGGACAAATTAAAAAAAGAGAGAGACCCCAAGTCATAGTAAGTGGGAAAAAAAAAGTCACAGACTAATACATTTAGCATGGTGACATGTATAAATAATTATATAAAAATGCAGTACAGGAATGCCTTTGAACAAAAGAAAACTGGAGACTATCATACCTATTAATTTTGGTTATCACAGGGGAGGAGTTGGAAGTAGAACAACAATTAAGAAACCCTTTCACTTTAGTTATGTAAGCCTTCAGGGGTGCTTGAATGACTTGGCTCAGGCTGGAGATATAACTTAGAATACAAAGATCTAGTAACACACACACACTTTTCTTTCAAGTTACCTAATTTTACCAAGACCCTCAAGATGTTGCTTTCCCTTATATTGCTAATTTTAAATTAAGTTGAAATTTTAAGTTTAAAATATTTATGAGAAAAAGTTTGAAACCATTTTGCTGTCCATTCACATACAAACTATTCATTTACAAAATATAAATCTTATTTCTTAAAACCTTTACTGGAAAACAACTTGAATTACAATCATCTTGGCTCATACCATTTTTATTAAAGCAGATACTTAAAAGTAATAAAATCCACCCTGGCAGGCATGGTTCAGTGGAGTGAGTGCCAGCCTGCGAACCAAAGGGTCATCGGTTCAATGCCTAGTCAGGGCACATGCCTGGGTTTTGGGCCAGTTGCCCAGTAGGGGACATGTGAGAGGCAACTACACACTGATGTTTCCCTCCCTCTCTTTCTCCCTTCCTTCTCTTCCGTCTAAAAATGAATAAAATCTTTTTTAAAAAAGTAATAAAAGTCTGCCTTGTTCAAAAGCTGTATGAATCTATAAAGCTTGCTTATTCAGTTTCTGGAGCATCACCTAAGACTGCGGCTCAAGGTTTCTCCACCTAACTTTTTCTATTACCATCTCAGCCTGTCAAATAGCTAAACTCTATAAACAACAGGAAACACTGATAAAGAATCTGTTGTCAATCCAGAAACATTTCATTATAAAGTAATTCCACACCTTCTTCTAAACTAACTGGGAAATGTGCATTTCCAAATAATAGAGAAGAAAGGAATGAACATTTACAAATACACATGCATATTCCAAATTCCATGTAAATCATATTAACAATATTTACAGACTCCAAATAAGGCTTCGTTGTACTCCATGCCCATGAAACAATATGGAAGGAGAGAAGATGCTTAACTTTGGGGAACAAGGATGTTAAAAATGCAGAAAAGATCTTAAAATTGCTAGAGGCAGTGAATCTACCAGACCAGTTTGCCTTAATGCACTGCCCAGGGCACCAAAGGGATGGTTTGCAAATGAACCACAGAAACAAAACTGTTGATAAAGCATCAAGATGAGCAGCTAGGCGGCTGCCACACTTAGGGATTTTGATCCCCTACTTGGACTTGTCAATATTTAAACTTCATTACATAAAACAAGATGAGTAATGGGCCCGTCAATGGGAATTCACTACCGATGATCCCACTTCCATATGGAAGGTCAACATCTATGGAATGATCTTACTTCCCAAGGCTCTGGTGTATCTCATCCTCAAACACCTACATGAAGGGATCCATTATGGAAGGGATGCTTTGATGGACCTCATTAGGCCACAACTGAAGGGCCCCCATCTGCAAAGGACTGTTCAGAGGATTACCCAAGCCTGTCAGACATGTGCCAAAAACAATCCTAACAGAGAACGCACCCCAGCAAAAAGGGGAGTACAATATAAAGGGTTACATGCATTACAGAACCAGCAAGTAAACTTTTTGCAAATGCCTAAAACCAGAGGGAATTTCAAATTTTTATTAGTTTTTTGTGGACACTTTTTCTGGATGGGTAGAGGCATACCCCTCTAGAACTGAGAAAGCAATCGTGGAGGCCAAACTTCTATTTAAAGAAATAATTCCTAGGTTAGGACTTTTTCACAGTATTCAAAATGACAACGGACCATCATTCACTTCAGAGATCTCCCAGAAAGTTAGACAGGTACTGCAAATAAAATGGAAATTACATGCATCTTGCAGACCTTGAATCTATGGGAAGCACTGATAAAATGATTCACACAATGAAGAGTGCCCTGGCAAAAATACACATTTGAAATGAGATCAGGCATGTTTCATTGCTTTCTCTGGATTAGGGTGTAGGAAACCGCTTTCCATGGTGTGGAAATGTAGCTCAGGACCCACGTGGAAAGCCAGTGGGGAGTGAGTGACATGCAGGACCACACCCATGGAGAGGTTTTCCTGTGGGGAATTAGGCCTGCATTGTACCTAGACTACTATGAGACTTGCTTTTGCTAAAACTCCCTCACCTTGAATTGAGGAAGGAAGTGCTTACTGCAACTTCCTAAAGTCTGTGCTATACCTCCCAAGTATGGAGTGTAACCAGTCCAACCATTTTTCCCCTTGGTCTGCAACATCCCTCTTTAAAGTAATTAGCAACATTCTTTCCTTTGCTATCTGTAAAAGGTAATCACCTGCAGCAAAACTGTGCATAGTAAATGAGGACTACCCTTCATGTAATGTACCCAGAAAAGCAGTAAGAGCTTGTCCAGGCAGGGGCTGGGGGCCTCTGACCCTGTCGCCCTCTCTCTCATTTAGGGAGCTGCTACCCCATCCCTTTTTCCCCACAGGACTTCTGTAGTCTGTGTGTATTTGTTCACTAGCAGCCACAACACACACAGATCCTACAGGCCAGGATCTGCATCATTAGGGTACCACCCAGAAGTGGTCTTAAGCCCTTTTGAAACAGTTTATTGGAGATCCATCCACATCTTGGTTCTGGGAACGCCCCCTACAACCCTGCCCCAGATAAGGAGCGTGAATGAAAAATTAGGCAATATGTACAACATTTAGGGCAAACACTAACCATTCTGCACAAGTTTGCTCCCTGCAGGTCCATCTACCCATCTGACAAGCAGTGGTCCCTATGACAATCTACTGACAACACATTCTTCTCTGAAGCTTGAGAGAATTAGGCCTTGGATCCACCATACATGAATAAAATAGGCGCCGCCTGAGAATTCAGACCCGGCTACTGTAGCTGATGCTGAAAAGGAAAGCTGGACTTGCATTCTGGAAGATTTGAAATTTCTCTTTCGAAAGAAAGAGCAGGCCCCCATGCAAAGTGATAATGGTCTTTTATTTACGTGTTTGCAGATTTAAGAATTTTTAGCTGCCAAATACTGAGTTTGAGTGTGGTCTGTTCCATCATTAAAAAGAACAAGCACTGAAAGTGTGTTATGGTTATGTTTGAGTGAGTAAGAAGGTCTATGAAAGTTGCAGAAGGTGTGTGGAAAGTTTAAGGCATATAAGGAAAAAAAAAGGTTTGTGAAGGTTGTAGAGGCCACTGGGTATGAAATTTTTTTTTTTCGAAAGGCAGGAAACCTCAGTGCTTGAGTTGAGTTATTCTTTGCTTTAGGTTTGGTTTTGTTTCTTGCTTTCTAATCTTTTGGGGACTTGGGGAACTTAACTGTTTTGTTCACACTGGGAATCCTCTGTCTCTGCTGTTTGGGGCTTCGTGCCATCATTGGACCTCATAAAGGTCATTTTCAGTAATTGAGTCTCTACAATTCAGTAATTCAGTCTCTGCAATTTGGGATTTTCTGCTGTTTGGATGTTAGAAAGGTTGTCTCTTGCTAGTTAGAGCCGGCTGGGGTGAGAGAGCATGCCTCTGCTATTAGTCTCTGCTATTAGAGGTCTGCCAGCAGACCCATGGATGCACTGGTGAGAAAATGCCTCTATCACTGGGGCTTCATGCCAATCCAGCTGGGGTGAGAACACATCTCTGCCATTTGGGTCTTCGTGCCACTGGGGACCTGAGCAAGGTCATCTGTGTAACCAGTTAGTGTGACATGTTGGTGGGAGACAAGATCAAGATTCTTAGGCTAGTTTTAGTCCCCTCTTAGTATTTTTTGTGGGTGGGGTGAATTCTATATTTGCTTTGGATATTTGTTTTTTTCAGTTTTGAAAAGAAATTGAGGCTCCTAAGGATTAAAACTTTACATTAGGTTAGGAAGTCAAGTAATGAAAGACAAAGTGTGAAAATGCAATTTTGGTGGATAATGGAAAGACAAGGATATTCCTTTTTGCTTTGTATTTTTATCCCTACCTGATCCCTCTAGAGTTTGGAATTCTTAATGAGTAATGATACAAAATTTCCTTTGCATAAAACCAGTAAGACCAGTTTTAATAACCAAGGCTTTGACTGGAATGTCTTGCCTGAAGGAGGCATGCCTGGGCTCTGGTTGTTACCAGAAGGCCTTGAGGAACTAAGATTGACTTTGAAAACTAACAAAAGCCCACTGGAGAAGTAGTGTGGTATCATGTTTGGTCTTGTGGTTCATGGCAGTCTTTCCAGGGAAAGAACAAAGGTTGCCTTCATGAAAGATGGCAAGGAGGAACCTTAAGATATAATGGGAACCTCAAGAACTTGAGAAATACGGGTACTGCAGGCAAAGACCGATGGCACTGTACAACTTAGCTCCTATGCCCTGAACGGCTGTCTAAGGATCAATCTAAAAGTTCCTTGTGGAAATTTCAGTAAAGCAGACTTAAAAACACCTGTATGTTCAATGCTGCTCTTGTTTTCATGCAAATGCTGAGGCAAAACTGAAAACCTGCAGTCTTTTTGAGGACAGTGAGGGTGATCTTGGGGAAAGGAATCAGGTTTTAAAGAAAATCACAATGCTCAGTCATGAACATCAGATTCTAGTGCAGTTAACTGTCTTCAAAGTTTGTTTTCATTTGAAAGTTGATCTGATTTAACCAGATGATATCAAGTTGTTACTAATTAGTATCATTTCAGCAAATGCCTTGCAACTGAACATATTCTCAAAAGACAGTCTTATGGACTCAGAAGTGGTATAGGCTCCACTTGAGAAGTCCACCTACATTGCCGCCTCCTGGTACTCAAGGGTTTGGCTGAACTAAATGGTTGAATTGGTGAAGTATGGAGCAGCCTATCAGTTTTCCTTTAAAATTGCTTTCTTTTCTGCCTTGGATGAAAAGGGTCCAGAAGTGTTAAAGGGGGGAATCTCAGGATATGCCCCTAAGCCTAAGTTCAGTATAGTAGGCAGTAACGCTTCAGACAGGTGACACACCTTGCATACCTTCCTCAAAGGAAGCCAATTTTTTCTTAATCAGGGACACTGCAGAGTCAGTCCCTACCTTTGTTATTTAGTTTTTGATTGTGCCTTCTAACCCTCTTGACAAATTTGTCGCCTCCAGAACGTGACAGGGTACCAATTCATTCAGTAACGCCATCCTTGAGATGTGCATACTGCTTTCCAGGTACAACCAACTGACCTGGACTTGGCAAAATACTTCTTCCTTGTGTGAAGTCTCCCCTCCACTCCAGAACCCCTTTGTTAGGGACCTCTGCACCAGGGAATAAATAGGACTATGCTCCTTGGCCAGCAGGAAGTAGTTAAAGAAGAATGACACACCTTTATCCATATGCCCTTGAAGATTACAAATGTCTAGAATGCTAAAGGGGAGATTGTAACAGGGAGGTGAGAGGAGATTTGGACTAGCAGGTCCTGGAAGGCAGATCCTGGGAGGCAGCATGGCCAGGTGACAAGTCCCTCCCTACTCCCCCATATGCAAAGCTGTGGCAGCCACCCACCAGCAGCCTCCTCACTTCTTCTGTGGCAGGGGCTGAGGGCATCAAGGAATCTGTGTACTATCTATAAGTAAATAAAAATTTTATTTTCCTTTCAAAGTGGACTCTGTCTCCAAAGTTATTGTCTATGGGGGGCACGCAGTGGGACCCCACTAGTTTGGTAGCAAAACCAGCTTAACCTTCAGGGAGTTCTGGAAGCTACATTTTAATATCCTCACTTCTTGAGGATCATAGACAAAGAATAGGGGGAAGTGTCTTCCAGTACCATGCAATCATTCTGGAAGAAACTGTGGCCTGAGTTAGTTGCTAAAAGAGATTTTGAGGGCTTTGATGGTGAACCTGTGTCTGTTTTGGAGGATACTTTGTCTCTGGACAAGTCCATAGGCTTGGAGGTGGATGATGATGATGATGTGGAAGAGTTAATGGAGGACTACCACACTAAGCTCACCCCCAAGGAACTCCAACACCTTCAGAGAAAAGAGCAACAGACAGCAGCTGAAAAGTTCTCTTCAGGGGAGGGGGGCAGAGAAAATATTCCTATTTCACTAATCAAGGGAATGCTTGGGAAATGGGCAGAAATACAAATTTTTACTAAGAAATATAACCCTGATAAAGAAGTAATGATCCATGTAATAAACTTGTTTAATGACAATGCAGTATTTCACTTTGGGCAAGTGTTAAAATGCAGACAAAAACAAACATCATTGGATAGGTTTTTAGTGAGACAGAGGCCCAGTGAGCCTGAAGCAAGATCTAGTGGAGCAAAGAGACAAAAAAGAACCTAAGAAGAAGAGCTACTTGACATTTTTATGGAGGGGTACACCTCTTTCAAACAATAATATCTCTCCATTCCTCCTCTCCATATTCAGTCATCAATAGCTCTCAACATTAAGGGTAAGTTCTAGTGTGTATGTCAATTTTCACACACGTTTTATTTCCTTTTTGTTAAGTTTCCATTTATATTTAACATCCTTTTTGTTTTTTAAAGTGTTTATTTATAGATTCAATAGTACATTAGACACGCACTATGTATAAAAAAAAGTTAAAATGGGAAATCATTTGGGTGTCTGGAATGACTTAATTAAATTGATCTTATTTTTAATGGGAAAATAACGATTCAGTTTTTGAACAAATCACATCTCAGTCTTCCAGAATGAATTAAGTTGAAAACTGAGGTTTCACTGTACAAAGAACTCATGTTCAGAATACACACAGAACTCTTACAATGGGTTGACTAAAAAATTCATTTAGTTTTCTTCATAAAATGAGACACATTTTTTATTTTCACCAATAACTTTACTGATTTGGATATTTTGAGAATGTCACCCATCTCCCACTATTGGCTTCCAGTGGGTAGAGGCCAAGGGTGCTGCTAAATATCTTCCAATGCATAAGACAGCTCCAGAGCAAAGATTTATTTCATCAAAATGTCAATAGAAACAAGAAACTCACAAACCACTTCTGACACATCAATCAGTCACAGCACATTCTCCATACACTGCACAAATCTTTTCTTTGCATTTCATTTGTGTTTTTACCTTTCTTGAAATAAATGAGCATAATATGCTTAAAGTGTTGTTTTTCTTCCATCTTCAGTATTAAAATGGCTACACGAAAATTCACCAATTTTAATAAGTTTTTTAAAAAGGCATGCTGATATGACAGCTGTCACAATACAATCTAACAAAATTGTTTTGAGTGAAGTTAAAGACACCTAAGCGCTTCCAGAGCCATTGTACAGAAAAAAACTAGACAAACCTTTTGGCCAACCCAATAACATGAAAAAAAAATTTTTAACAGGCACTTCTAGGAAAAACATATACAATACAAATCACCTATATTAAAAGGTATTCAACCACATTAATGGATAAGAAAATACAAATTAAAACCACAGAATATCTAACATTTAAAGAGTAACAAAAACATGTTTATGAAGATGTAGAACAACAGGTATTAGAGTGTAAACTGGAATTTAAAACTTACTTCAAGAGCTCATAATTCTTCTCATTTAACCTCACAGCATTTTCTCTCCAAAATTTCTCAGATTTGTGTACAGGGCTCCATTCCAATCTTCCAGATTTAAGTTCTGAACTGTACTCATCAAATGAGCTATAAAAATTTTTAAAGAATTCAGAGTTTATAAGAATCTAAGAGATCCTCCAAGTTAATTAAAATATCTTCACTGATGATTTAACTACAAAGACTGGCTATCCTTAGTACAAACCACCACTAAACAAAGTTTAAACATCTTGAATAAGATTTATAAATCATGTGAAATTTTTTCAGAGTACTAAGGCCCAGGACCCCTGACAAATTTGAATGCTTATCATGAGATATTAAAAGGGATACTTACTTCAGAAATCTGTACTCTAACATATGTATACATAAATGTAAAATCTGATAATCTAGCAGAACTTCTACCATGCCACTTAAAATACTGTATTTGCCAGGCCACTAGATACATTAACATAAATTTATGTTAAAGTATGTTACTTTAACAATATAAAATAGTACATTCTAATACTATTACATTATAAATATTATAAACTACATTGCATTACAAAAGCAGAAACATATATCTGTACAATATTTTACAATGTGATTGCGAACAGTGAAGAGAATTCTTAGGTTGAATTAACCCACTATAGATTAAAAATAGAAATCTCTGTACATATAACAACTGCAATCAATGTACTTTAATTAAACAATTATTCACTATGTTATCAAGTTCCTTCATTATTCAATTAGCCAGTGGACAACCACCATGACAAGACATACCTGGACTCTTTTTCAAGTAGCCATTTAATACTGAATGGTAATTCAGAATAACCAGGATTTACTGGGTAAACTGATCAGAATGTCCTGTTTGAATAATGTAGTAATTTACTTGAATAAAAGCCCAGTCAGTATAACAAGTAAGCTAGTATGCTTAATAGTAATATCCTAAGTCTAAAACAGAGAAAAATCTTTCAATTGCATCCATCATCCAATTAACTTTATGTAAATAGATATATTTTTATAATTTCTAAATTCAACATGAAAAGTCAATAATTCTTTCATGTAGAGTAAATAATTTACAAAGCTAATTATCACTAGCCTTATTTATTTTTAAAAGGGATCTTAAATCATTATTACAGAAGAACTGATAAACTTTTTTTAATAGGCATAACAGAACTTATAAAAACTGGAAACTGGGCTGCATGGGGGAGCAGGAGAAGATGGCGGTCTCCACTGTGAAAAGCTGCAGTGCAAACAAAATAAAAGCTCAGAAGAAAATGAAGGTTAACTGAAAAAAGGCGGTTGCTTAGAAAAGCTCATCAACTCCTATATATAGTGTTTAGTTTCCTATGAGCACAGACTTTGAAAAACATGAGCTGGAAGATGGTAGCAAGATAGGTGGGAGTGGAGTCCACTTCCCCCTGCACACAGGTAGAACACCTAGCCAATCTTCTGAGGAACAGAGTGAACAGCCAATGGTATCCCAGCATATATGAAGGCTGGAGGCCAAGATTGCAGAGGACATTGAAAAAGCAGATGGTAAGGAGAGTATTTTGGGACAATAAGGTCCCTGGGACAAGTGCAGAGACCAGGGCAGGTGCAGCACCAGGCCCAGCACCTGTTAGGCCTGTCACAAGATTCTTGGGAATGAGCCAGGTCAATGGATCCCTACCCTGCCAAAAGGGAGGTTTGAGCAGCAACAGGATGGACCTGGATGCTTGAAGTTATTGGGGGGAATAAAGACGAAGTGGCAGACACACAGGGACGGTGTTTTCCTGCCCAAACTGTGGACACGGGATTTCTCATTACCAAAGAAATTGAGGATCCAGGTGACACCTGGAGAAGGGAGAATAGTGGGTCCATGACAACCCTGACCCTGACAGTCCCCAGTCTGGTTGGAAAGGGGCTGTGTGAGAGGCCGGGTGCTTTTTAGGAGTGGCAGGCTTGAACAGAAGGAATTTGTTCAAACAAAAAAAAAAAGGCTCCCAGTGGCTGTTTAGGAAATTCTCCTGCAGCAGCCACCTATGCCTCCCTGGCTACACCCCTGCAGTAGTCAGAGCCTCAGCCACAGCTGTCCCTGCCACCACAACCACAACCATGCCTCTACCTTCCCCAGGCTGGCAGTGGAGGACACCTGCCCCATCATCCCGCAGTCCCATCAACACAAGCCCAACCCTCTCTCCACTGCCTCGGCAGCAGAGGCCACTAGCCCACAACTGATATCCCAGAGGCACACACCCAAACCTGCTGCTGCAGACACAGCAGTGCTCCTGCCCTGCAGGACCGGACTGGCACACTAAGAGGAAGGAGGAGGCGCCCCACAGAGGAGACCAGCAGGGCTCAGGGAGTCAGCAATCCCCAGAAAAATTCAAATCAGTGAGGGAGCTAAACTACCCTGAAGAGACTTTCAGAGTCCCTAGCACCTAAGGCAGCAAAGAGTGAGAAGATGGTATGTGAGTTGCCCCTGATTGGTGCATCTCAAGGACAGCACAACTGGTGGACTGAAGGCATAGGCCTAGTGCAGAAGGGCACTGGGGGCCCAGCAGCAGACTGAGGAACTGGGCTGGAGGCTGGGCAACTGTGAAGAGTGAGCCTAGACCTAGCCCCTGTCAGCGCAAAACCATAGGAAGAAAGAAAAGTGAAACCCAACTCCCCTCAGCCTGCTGCAGCCAGAAGACCTGCAGAACTCACTTGGCAATTTAAAGCCAGCAGGAGGCTTTTATTTTCTTCCTTCCCTTTTTTTTCTCCACAAGTGACACAATAAGACCTGGAGCTCTCAAAAGACCAGAATCAGACCTAAAGAAGGTTCATCCCAACAACTGAGACAGTGAGACAAATTTCACTTTGCTATTCCAGAGACCCTGCAAGCTATTGTTTATTCATATTACTATCTTTTCATTATTTTTACTTTTATTTTATTAGCATTTTTTAAATTTTTCTTCTTTCTGTTTAGTTTTCTTCATTTTATTTAATTGTATTGTTTGGTTTTCCTTGTTTTCTCTTTCATAGTGTATTTTTAATTTTCCTTCTTTCACTTCACTTGTGTTCCAATAGCACACTACTCTAGGCTGTGTACTTCCTATTCTTGTTATTCAGATCACATAGGTTCTGTCATATGATTGTTGTTCCAGTATTAGTGTAAAAAACTGTTGTTCCATATAGTTACAAATACTGCACAGCACCCCTTCCAATTAGGCCTAGTTCACTGTCTTCTGGAATGTTATTGGTTAACTCTGTTGTGGTTAACTCTATTCTCTTGCACACTACACTTATTTTCTCTCCTTTACTCTCACTATATCTCATAATCTGACCTCCCACAAGCTCACTGATTTCTGGATTCAACTCACAATCCATCCCTCCCTCTAACAAGAGACTTATCTTTTTTCCACCCTTTCTAAAACATGGATAGTTGGGTGAAATATCAGTTAACACTATACTTATCCAAAGGATCTCCTATCTCTTCTCTATGATTTGTACTTTAAATCCCACAGAATACTCTGTAACTGACTTAAACCAATTTCCCTTCCCCCTGCAACTGATCACATACAACAGTAGGTGGGAGCTGCAAACACCAATACACCTGGTAGAAGAGAGAACCCACCAACAAAGGAACTACCAGAAGATAATAAAGGAAGATGGTAGAAGAGTGGAAGCCACACTAACCTCCTCCCAGGGCCAATCTGGAATTACAACTAAACTGGAGAGAAATTACCCAGAACAAAAAACTGAACAGTAGCGAGAGAGAAGGCTTATAACCTTAGACAGACAGGAGAACCAGCTTCGCCACAACCTGTCTGCACCTGCACAATAGCATGGTAGGTAGAGTGACTCTCAGTCAACCAGCTGGAGGGAAGGACCCACCAAAGAAAGACCCAAAAGCAATCAAAACCAAAAGACATACAGAGAGCCAACGTAAACAGCCCAAGAGCAGCAAGTTCAGGAGATCAAGGATATTGCCCCACTGAATCTCATAGGTTTCCTACCATAGAAGTCCACACTACAGACCTAGAGAATCAGACAGATAAATTTAAGAAGCAGAGGTTGACAAGAAGAGTCTCACAAATAATGGGAACACAAAGAAACAAACCCCAAATGTAAGGAAAGGAGGAAGCCTCAGAAAGAAGGCTAAATGGAATAGAGAGAGGTCAACTACCAGATACTGAATTCAAAGCAATGGTTACAAGGAATCTCAATGAGCTCACAGAGAATTACCAAAATCTACAGGGAAACTATGATGAACTCACTGCAAACTATATCAGCATGAAAAAGGAAAAATAAACTATCAAGAAGTGCCAAGAGGAAGTGAAGAATACAATCTCTAAACTGAATAACACAATAGATGGAATCAATAGCAGGCTAAATGAACCAGAGGATAAAATAAAAAAGCTGGAGATCAAAGAGAAAAAAACACCCAGAAAGAGCAATAAAAGGAAAAAAGACTCAGAAAGAATGAAGAGGTGTTAAGGGAACTGCATGACAATGAAATGTAATTATATCTGCGTAGTAGGGATACCAGAAGAAGATGAGCATGGGATAGAAAACCTGTTTGAAAAAGTAATGATGGAAAACTTCCCTAATATGATGAGAGAAAAAGTCACACAAATCCAGGAAGCACAGAGAGTCCCAATCAAGAGGAACCCAAAGAGGCCCACCTCAAGACATATAATTAAAATGGCAAAATTCCAAGACAAAGAGAGAATATTAAAGGCAGCAAGGGAGAAACAGAAAATAATATACAAGGGAGCAACAATAAGGTTAGCAGCAGACTTCTCAATGATGATGCTCCAAGATAGAGGGGAATGGCAAGAAATAATCCAACTCATGAAAAATAAAAGTACTGCAACCAAGACGACTCTATCCAGCAAGACTCTCAATTAAAATGGAAGGCTAAATTAGGAGTTCTCAGACAAAAGAAGCCTCAAAGAATACACCTCCTCCAAACCAGTTCTGCAAGAGATACAAAAGTGTCCGCTTTAAGAAAAAAAAAAAAAGAGTGAGACAGAGAGGAACACAGATACAAAAAAATAGGAATGAATAAGTACCTATTGATAATAAACTTAAACATAAATGGATTAAATGCTCCAATCAAAAGACACAGAGTAGTTGAATGGATAAGAAATCATGACCCACAGATATGCTGCCTACAAGAACACACCTTGAACAAAAGATGTACACAGGCTGAAAGTGAAGGGTTGGAAACAAATATTCCAAGCAAATGGACAGGAAAGAAAGGCTGGGGCAGCAATACTCCTATCAGACAAAATAGACTTCAAACAAAGGGCCACAAAAAGAGACCCAGAAGGTCACTTCATAATACTCAAGGGAAGAATCCATCAAGAAGACATGAACATTGTAAATATATATGCACCCAACCTAGGAGCACATAAATACATTAGGAAAATCTTGGAGGACTTCAACATATTGACAGCAACACATTTATAGGAGAGGATATTAACACCCCACTCTCAAAAATGGATGTATCTTCCAAACAAAATACCAACAAAGATACTGCAGCATTGAACAATGTGGACTTAATTGATAGAGAGTCTAGATCAAATGGATTTAACTGATATACATAGAGTCTTTCTTCCCAAAGAAGCAAAATATACATTCTTTTCAAATACACATTGAACATTTTCAAAGATAGACCACATGATAGGACACAAAACAAGCCTTAAAAAATTCAAGAAAACTGAAATCATATCAAGCATTTTCTCTGACCACAAGGGACTGAAATTAGAAACCCATCTCAAGGAAGAAAATTCAAAAAAACTCAAAGTCATGGAAACGGAACAGCATGCTATTAACCAATGAATGTGTAGGAATGAGATCAAGCAACAAATCAAAAAGTTTCTGGAAACAAATGAAAATGAACTCACAACAACCCCAAACACAATGAGGGCAGTCCTGAGAAGGAAGTTCATAGCAATACAGGCCTACCTCTAAAAGAAACATTTCAAGTAAACAACCTAACCCCACACCTGTAAGAACTCGAAAAACAACAAAAAAGACAGCCCAGAGCAAATACAAGGAAGAAAATAACCAAGATAAGAGCAGAATTAAATGACAGAGAGACTAAAAGCACAATTCTAAGGATCAGGTAAATTCAGGAGCTGGTTCTTTGAAAAGATAAACAAAATCGACAAGCCTCTAAGCAGGCTCATCAAGAAAAAAAGAGAGAGGACCCAAATAAACACAATCCGAAATGAAAGAGGGGAGATTACAACTGATACCACAGAAATGCAAAGGATTGAAAGAAATCACTATGAAGAACTATATGCCAAGAAATCTGAAAACCGGCCCTGGCTGGCATAGCTCAGTGGATTGAGCGCAGGCTGCGAACCAAAGTGTCGCAGGTTCGATTCCCAGTCACGGTACATGCCTGGGTTGCAGGCTATGACCCCCAGCAACCACACACTGATCTTTCTCTCTCTCTATCTCCCTCCCTTCCCTCTCTAAAAATAAATAAATAAAATCTTAAAAAAAAAAAAAATCTGAAAACCTAGGTGAAATAGACAAATTTCTGGAAAAATATAATCTTCTAAAACTCAATGAAAAAGAGGCAGAAACTGTGAATAGATCAATAACAGCTGACAAAATTGAAGCAGTAATAAAAAAAACTCCCAACACACAAAAGCCCTGGACTGGACAGTTTCACAGGAGAATTTTACAAAGTATTTAAGTAAGAGGTAACCCCTATCCTTCATAGATTATTCAAAAAAACCCAAGATGATGGAAGACTCCCAAAGTTTTTATGAAGCCAGCATCATCCTAATCCCAAAACCAGATAAAGACACAACAAAGAAAGAAAACTTCAGGCCAATACCGCTGATGAACATAGACACTAAAATCTTCAACAAAATATTGGCAAACTGCATCCAGCAATACATTAAAAAGATCATACATACACCATAACCAAGTGGGATTCACCTCAGGGATGCAAGGATGGTACGATATTTGCAAATCAATGAACATAATACATCACATAAACAAAAATCACATGATCATATCAATGGATGCAGAAAAAATATTTGATAAGGTACAGCACCCATTTATGATTAAAACACTCATCATAGTGGGAACAGAGGGAGCATTCCTCAACATAATCAAGGCCATATACAAGAGACCTACAGCCAACATCATACGCAATGGACAAAAACAGAGCTTTCCCACTAAGATCAGGAACAAGAAAAGGATGTCTGCTTTAACCACTCCTATTCAACACAGTATTGGAAGTCCAAAGCATAGCAGTCAGACAAGAAAAAGAAATAGAAGGCATCCAAATTGGAAAGGAGAAAGCAGAACTGTCATTGCAGATGACATGATAGAAAATCCCACAGACTCCACCAAAAAACTATTCAACCTAGTAAGTGAATTTGGCAAAATAGCAGGGTTCAAAGTCAATATTCAGAAATCAAAGGCATTTTTGTACACCAACAATATCAGAAACAGAAATCAGGAAAAAAATCCCATTTGATATAGCAACAAGAAAAATAAAATACCTAGGAATAAACCTAACCAAGGAGGTAAAAGACCTGTACTCACAAAACTACACAACACTGAAGAAAGAAATTAAGGAAGACACAAACAAATGGAAGCTTGTACTATGCTCATGGATTGAAAGAATTAACATCATCAAAATGTTCATACTACCCAAGCAATTTATAAATTCAATGCAATCCCTATTGAAGTACCAATGGCATATTTCACAGATATGGAACATTTCAAAAATTTATATGGAACCACAGATGACCCCAAATAGCTCAGCAATTTTGAGAAAGAAATACAAGGTAGGAGGGATCACAGCACCTGATATCAAACTGTATTACAAGGCCACCATAATGAAAACAGCCTGGTACTTGCATAAGGACAGACATGCAGACCAATGGAACAGCATAGAGGGCCCAGAAATAAACCCAAGTCTCTCTGGTCAAGTAATATTTGACAAAGGGGGAAGAAGCATAAAATGGAGTGAAAATAGCCTCTTCAACAAATGGTGTTGGGAGAGATAGACAGCTCCATGCAAAAAAAATGAAACTTGATCATCAACTTACACCATACACAAAAATAAATTTAAGGTGGATGAAAGACTTAAGTATAAGTCGTGACACCATAAAAGTCCTAGAGGAAAATGGGCAAGAAAATCTCAGAGATTCCACACTAATATTTTCACCAATATGTCCCCTAAGCAAGGGACATAAAGGAAGGAATAAACAATTGGGACCTCATCAAATTAAAAAGCTTCTGCATGGCTAAACAAAACAGCATTAAGATGAAAAGAGATCAAACTATATGGGAAAACATATTTGCCAATGATAGCTTAGACATGGCTTTGATCTCCAAAATATATAAAGAACTCGCAAGACTCCACTCTAGGAAGACAAGCAACCCAATTAAAAAATGGGTAAAGGACTTGAACAGACGCCTCTCCAAGGAGGACATACAAAGTGTCCAGAGACACATGAAAAGACGTTCAGCATCTCTAGCCATCAGAGAGAATCAAATTGAAACCACAATGAGATACCACTTCACACCAGTCACAATGGCCATCATAAACAAAGCAATAAACAAGTGTCGGAGAGGTTGAGGACAAAAGGAAACCCTAGTGCACTGTTGGTGGGATTGCAGCCTGGTGCGGCCACTATGGAAAATAGCATGGAATTTCCTCAGAAAAGTAAAAATGGATCTGCCTTTTGACCTGGCAATTCCACGGCCAGGATTATATGCTAAGAACCCTAAAACACCAATCCAAAAAAACCTATGCACCCCAATGTTCATAGCAGCACAAACTGCAAAAGCCAAGTGCTGGAAGCAATCTATGCCCATGAGTAAATGAATGGATCAAAAAACTAAGGTGTATTTACACAATGGAATAGTACACAGCAGAAAGAAAGAAGGAAATAACAATAAAAATCAAAAGTATTTAAAAGAAAAAAGAAAAGAGGGGAGGGGAGGAGAGGGAAAAGAGCTCCTACCCTTTGCAACAGCATGAATGCAACTGGAGAACACTATGCTAAGTGAAATAAGCCAGGGGCGAGGGACAAATACCATATGATGTCACCATTAAGTGGAACCTAATCAACAAAACAAACAAGCAAGCAAAATATAACCAGAGACATTGAAATTAAGAACAATCTGACAGTAACCAGAGGGGGGTGGGAGAGGATAATGGGGGGGTAAGAAGGAAATTGTTTTCAGGAACAACTGTAAGGGACACATGGACAAAACCAATGGTGGGGGAGTGGAAGCAGGGGAGGGAGGTGGAGATGGCTGGGGTGGGGGAATAGTGGTGGGGGAATATGCAGACAACTACTTGAACACAATAAAATAATTTTTAAAAAATTTTTAAAGAATATAAATGACAAAACACAAAAAATATAAATATATATGTATATACATGTATATATGTATATGTGTGTGTGTGTGTGTGTGTGTGTGTGTGTGTGTGTGTATATATATATATATATATATAAAACCAATAGAAATTTCAAGAAAGCAGGAAAAAAATAGTCTTCCCAGATATGGGCAAAACTTGTCCACAAATTAACAACCATTACTGCTTTAAAAGATTCCTAACCAGGAGGAGATCTTGAAGAGTTCCATGGCAGTGCTAACAACTGGTGTAGTACAGCCAATCCTATTTTAAAAGATAAATGGTGGAACACTCCCCAAAAAGAAGAAATAACATACAGCTCTAAGAAACTGTTACTATAGCAATAAGCCCCTGTTTTTTTAACATATCCACCAAATATGATAGAAGACATAATATTTCAATACAGTCGTTAGAGATTATATTTAGTAAGAAATTTAAATTTCCTTAAAATACCAAACAAATGAAACGAAGTCCAATATACCCAGACTTTGAGATTTAAAAATAACATACCTAAGATCCTGAACACTTTCACCAAGTTTTTCCAAAAGAAATTTTATATCTTCACTGATATCTTCATCATCGTACTTTTGCTGTTCCAAGTTTTCCAACTGTTTCAGAACTTTGCACTGAATCATAGCCAGAGCATATTCTTGGCGAGTTTCTCTTTCGGTTGATTTTTCTAAAAAGTTCTAGTTTAGACAAAGATATAATTTGTTACATGATATCCTGAGACCTCTGTACATCCTTTTTCACCCTCTCTCCTCCTCCTATTGACAGGTTAACTATAACCTTTAAGTGGATGACTTTCTTTCCTAAGCATCTGTCCATATCAGAAATATTCTTCTGATTCTTTGCTTACTTACTAGCTTACTAAACGTCTTATTTTTTTAAGGTTGTATTTATTTATTTTTAGAGGGGGGGAAGGTAGGAAGAAAGAGAGGAAGAGAAACAAAAATGTGTGATTGCCTCTTGAGTGCCTCTTGCGTGCCTCTTGCATGCCCCTTGCTGGGGACTTGGCCTGCAACCCAGGCATGTGCCCTGACTGAGAATCGAACCTGTGACCCTCTGGTTCACAGGCTGGCACTTGATCCACTGATCCACAACAGCCAGGGCAGCTTACTAAATATTTTAAATTATTGACCCAGACAAGCCTCAAAATACTGAACACTGGATAACTAAATCCACCACAATCCTTTCTCACAGCCTGTTCCTGTGTACACCATACTGAACTCTCCTTTCACTGGCTACCTAGATCACTTAGGATACTATGAAAGAATGTTTTTTCAAGTATTTCTTCAGTTTCCAGTCAGTAACTATTTCCCCCTCCAATCAAACTATAAGTGCAGAGTGAACAGCAATTAAAAAAAAAAACCTCTGTTGCTTGAACAATTATCAGAAAAGTTTTGTGACATTCAAGCAAATTCCCTAGCTATGTTACTGTGATTTTAACAATTTCAAATAAGTGTACCAAAATTTGAAAATATATTTATTTTTGTAAGCAAGTTTATATTATGCCAAATAAAGAAATTTAGCTTAGCATATGGCCTACCAAATGGCATATGGCCTACTACTTTGGTAGTCAATCCCTACCAAAATTCCAATAGTATTTTTTACAGAAGTAGAAAAAATCCTAGATTTTGTATGAAACTACAAAGGCCCCAAATAGTCAAAGCAATCTTGAGAAAGAAGAACAAAGCTGCAGGCCTCATACTTCCAGATTTCAAACTGAACTACAAAGCTATAGTAATCAAAATTATATAATAATGGCATAGACAGGCACAAAGACCAATGGAACAGAAAAGAGCACCCAGAAATAAGCCCCTATCTATACAGTCAACTAATATTTGACAAGAGAGCCAAGAATACTCAGTGGAAAAGAATAGTTCTTCAATAAACGGATTAGGAAAATTGGATAACCACATGCAGAAATATGAAATTGCACCACTATCTCATACAGCTAACAATAATTTACTCTAAATGGATGAAAGACATAAACTGTCAAACTCCTGGAAGAGAAAGAAAAACCTCTTGGCATTGGAAACAATGTTTTGTATAGACCACCAAAATCACAGGCAAGAAAAGTAAAAGTCAACAAGTAGAACTACATCAAACTAAAAGCTTCTACATCCAAAAGAAACAATAAAATAAAAACAAGATGGGTGAAAAATATCCGCAAACAATATATATATATCCGATGAGGGGGTTAATATCCAAAATATATAAAGAATTCATACCACTCAATAACAAAAAAAGGCAATTAAAAAACAGGCTAAGGATCTGAACAGGCATTTTCCAAAGGAGACATTCAGATGGCCACCAAGTTCAAGTGCCTGACATCCCTAAGCACGAGAGAAATGCAAATCGAAACCACAATGAAATATCACCTCATACCTGTCAATATGACTATAATCAGCCTTGGCTGGGTAGCTCAGTTGGTTGGAGCATCATCCAGTGCACCAAAAGGCTGTGGATTCGATTCCTAGTCAGGGCACATACCTAGGTTGAGGGTTCAATCCCCAGTCAAGGCACATACGGGAAGCAACCAATCAAGGCCTGTTCTCTTTCTCTCTCCGCACCTAAACACCCCTCTTTCTGAAATCAGTAAACATATCCTTGGATGAGGATTAAAAAAAAAAGCTATAATCAAAAAAACAAGAGATAATAAGAATTGACAAGGATGTGGAGAAAAAAGAACACCAATGCTCTGTTAATGGTAATATACACTGGTTACAGCCACTATGGAAAATAAGTATAGAGATTCTTCAAAAAGTTAAAATAAAAATAGATCTACCATCTGATTCAGCAATTCCACTTCTGAGTATTTACTTGAAGAAAAGCACTAACCTGAAAAGATAACATGCACCTCATGTTCATTGCAGCATTATTTATAATAACCAAAATAGGAAAACAATCTAAGTGTCCACTGAGAGATGAACATGTAAAGAAAATGGGATGTACATATTCATACAATGGAATATTATTCATTCATAAAAATGCAAGAAACCTTGCCATTTGTGACAATATGGATGGACCTAGAAGGTATTATGCAAAGTGAAATAAATCAAACAGAAAAAGACAAATACCATATGGCTTCACTTATATGTAAAATCTAAAACAAAAACAGAAACAGTGACTGAACTGATGTTGCCAGAGGAGAGGTGACGTAGGAAAGATGGGTAAAGTGGAATATAGTCAATAATATTGTGGTAAGTTTGCACAGTGACAGATAGTTATTAGTATTAGTAACCATAAGGTATATAAATGTTGAATTATATTGTACACCTGAAACTAATATATAGTATACCACCTGTGCTTTAAAAAATAGATTAAAAAAATAAGTCCACCCACACCAATATTTAGATGCCAGCGAACTAAACATTCTAGTTAACAGAGATTACCGGAATAAATAGAAGTTCAAAGTACATGTTCTCTAAAAGACACAAACTTTAAATACAAGACACATATAGATTAAAACTGAAAGATGGAAAACCGTAAGCATAAGAAAGCTGATATGTCTATATTAATTTCAAATAAAGTAGGTATCAAGAAAAAGAGCATTACCAATAAATAAAGGACATTTCACAATGATTTAAGGACTGATTATTAGGAAAATATAACAGATAAATGTTACAAAGAGCATTTCAAAATACACAAAGCAATAATCAGCAAATTGAAGGGAAAAACTGACAAATCCACAACAGCTGGAGATTTTAACAACTCTAGGCAATTGATAGAACCAGTAAACAAAAGTTGGAACACAGAAGGTCTGAATAACACTATCAACCACCCTGATTTAATTAACATTTAGAGAAACTGAAAGACACACATCCTTTATAAAGTACAAATGGTACATTCACTATGACAGACCACAAGCCATATAACAAGTCTCAAATTTCAGAGAATTGAAACTGTGTAGAATAGTATGTTTCACTGACCATAATGGAATTCAATTAAAGATCTTAAATTGGGGGGAGACTTAAATTCTGATAACCTCTCCCTTTATGAAACTCTTTCTGTCTTCCTTTGCTTTTGTTCTAATTTATCTGTTACCTTTTCCAGTTACTTTTCTTACTACCTCTTCTAGTATCAGAAAAATACCAATGCTCTTTTATTCATATGGTCCTTTGTTATTTCCATTGCCTATTTGTTGGATAAAGAATTAAACTTCATATTTAAGATATTATCATAACTAATGGTTTCAACTATAACCTCAACATGGTCAATATAACTAATATAGAATAACCCTATCATATTTTTCTGAAATTACCTCTTCTCTCAATTCCCTAAGATATGAACACTTGAAAATTTAGTCATAATTGATTCTGCCCTTTTCTTCAATCCTATGTTAAATCAATTAGCCTTATCTATTTTTCCTTTAAAATATGTTTTAATTTCATCTCTCCATCTCATTGTACATAATCAAAGGTCAAGAAACTTACTTAGGAAACTGAATTTGCCTGAAAAAAAAAAAAAAAACCTAGAGAATTTGGCAGCAGTGTACTCTTCTATTATTATTATTATTATTATTATTATTGACATACAATATTATGTTAGTTTCATATGTTCAATATAGTGATTCAACATTTTATACATTTTGAAGTGATCACCACAGTAAGTCTAGTAACCACCTGCTACCATACATAGTCATTACAGTATTATTGACTACATTTCCTATTCAGTACATTACATCCCTATACCTTATTTTATAACTGGAAGTTTGTCTCTTAATCCCTTCACCTTTTTCACCCATACCCCTCTACCAAGCATCAATTTGTTCTTTGCACCTGTAAGTCTGTGTTTTGTTTTGTTTTTTCGATTCCACATATAAGTGAAATTATAGAGCATTTGTCTTTCTCTGTCCTTTAAAGACCTTAAAACTCAAATGCATCCTCACCTCAACAATATCAAAACTCTAAATATCATTTTGGCCTTTATCCAAGTAATGGTGCGGAGCAATCAGATCTTTCCCTCACCAAAACCTGTAGCCTTATAAAATACATGTTAAAGCTGAGCTTTTCAAAGAATCTGTGATAAAGACCAGTTTTGTTTCATTTACAATCATTCATGAATAAACTTTTATAAAATACAATAAAAATGTTCTTGTAGAAAAATAAATTTTAAAAGACATGCCAAAAACAAGCTTAAATTTTATACGCAGTTTAACAATTCTGTCAAATTACCTAACTTTCTAAATTCTTATCCTCACTTTCTATACTTATAATATTGAAGATTGCTAGCCAAAAATTCACACCACTACAGTGACATGTGGACCACACCTGAAGTATGGCTGTACTAAAAAACTTACCCCAAGATTAAAAATCTCTCAGTTTTACCAGATCTCATCCAAACCTCATATCTAATGAACAATATAGAGAAATTCCTGATATAAGGGATGAAAGATAGACTTGGGAATAAAATTTCTTGGTAGCAATACTTCTGTGCCAAAGCAGCAGGCAAAAAGAGTTCCCATACACTTAAATTTTGTGAGCTTCTTTGAAAGGATCATGACTATGAACTGTCTGCACAGGAAGGTATAGATATGTGCATATCTTTGTGGGTGTGTATATGTATGTGGGTGTGAATTAAACATCATGACTAATATAAGTAATGAAAATCCCACTGGTGGTATTTTTTCTAAGCCTTTATACTGAAAACCATACAGTTGTAAAAATATAATTTATTTCATTAT